ATTACGTCACTTTCTTTATACTGCGTATGTAATGTGCAAGAAGGTAGAAAGTGAGCTTTACTTAGGCCCAACTTAATTCCGTTCAAAGTACGGAATGACTTTTTAACAAGTTTAGCTAGCAGATTTAAATAACTTCTTAGTAGAAGTGCAAAATAAAATTACATTTTCACATCTCATGGAAAGAGAGTTGTAAATAATTTACTGTCTGAGAAAAGCGAATTTGGAAAAACTACATTAAAATGATTATTTAAGACGTAATACATTTTGAATTACATACTCTTATAGTTAGGGCTGGTATTTTTCATCAGGAAATGCATAGAATAACATTTCATTATTACTGAACGTGCCATATTTTCAGTTCAAGAATTGCGCAAGGCCGCGCTGTCGTTTGCTCTCTTTCTGCATCGCCTCGCGCTCTCTGGGTAGGCAAGGTCAAAGGTTACTGAACAAAATTGGTTTGCGGCATAGCGTCCGTCCTCGTGTCTGCCGCCTGTGTCTTGTGTGTGAAAAACTCTGGCGCCTACACTATTCGTAGGAATTTTGCCAAAATGAATATTCCCCGATCGATAATACCCTATTGAAAGCCCCGCGATTTTGAAAATATTTCTAAATGTGAAGGGTGCTTTACATGAGGTCTCTGGCATCTTACGAGAATGTCTATGCCATTGGGTAGCACAACTAATTTCAAAACATGCGCCCGTTCGTCTGTCCATCCGTGAGCAACACTAGCGTCTAAACCATTCTTAGGAATTTTCTCAAATGAATATTCCCTGTTCGATCTGGTCGGACTCAGGACAATGTGATTTGGAAAATATATCTTTACATTTTAAGGTTACTTTTATAATTTTATAGATTATAATTTTACACAAACTTATAATCAATTAACTATCTCATACAACTACATCATTGAAGATTTTTTCTCTTAATGAAATGTGTTCTTCACAGTAATTATTAGTTTAATTACACTTAAATTAGTGGCAGGTACATTAAAAAAATATTATTCATTTTCGCGCATTTTGAGTCAAACATGGGCAATTAAAAAAAAATTCTCAAAAAATACTCGTTTTTTCTTTAAATGTTTGTACGCATAGTGCCAAGTGAACAGAATATCCTGATATTAACGCCATTTTGGTGTATCTTTTTAACTTTCCAAAAAATACTCAAATGTAATTTATTTGAAATTTCACTCACATTAAAGACATTTTAAGTACATTATTGAATTGTGAGTACAAGCGTTTAGATTGATTTTTCATAAAGTTTCTAGAAAACCTAACAGTTTTCTGTTGCTGAACGTTGCTCATTTTTCAGATGCTTAAACGTCATTTTCCCAAAAATAAAGGCAAATCTTACAACGCAAATTTGCAAACGGAACCAGGTTTTTTCTCGTCTGTGATATTCTCAAAGTTATATTTTCATTCTATAGTAACGAGAGGGATAAATGAAGAAAATGAAAAAAGGTCATGTTAGTTTAACTATTTCTGCAAAATAAGTGTGACATGAAGGTTAACAAAATAATTGTGTTAACTGATACGAGCAGTAAAAATTGTTCCCCAACTTAAAGTAGTTGTTGAGTTAGTTAAACTTGGAAAACCTTAACGTTAGGAGAGTTCGCGAGAAATAAGGTAAACTCCTTAAATCCAAGCCTGACCATAGGTTCAGGAATAGTAAAATTCGACGGCTCTGGTCACGCAAGGTTATAGTCAAGAAGTTCATTTTAATTTTCATACCCCAGTAACGAAAATCGTTCTGTGTCACATATATCATGTTGTATTCAATTGTATTAATTTAATCATTAATTTAGAATAAATAATATTTATTGCATTAAATGAAATGTTGACAATCAACTTAACTTTTCTCTGTTCGTTATCACTTTAAATATCTGAAACAAGCAAAGAGGTGCTAACATGCAGTTGCATTACGTTTAAAATACCTTTACAGTATTTTAAACATGCTTACTTGTAAATGCGAATTCTCAACCTTCGCTACTTAATTGTATAACTTAATTGTATAAAGTCAGTTCCTTAGAATTAACTGCCTAACTACTGACATGACACTCTCTACCCATGACCTCAATATCTGCCCTTTCATTTCATAATTTATCCACAAACGAATTTTAAAGTTTTCCGTTACTTTCAGTTATTAAATACTACGCATGTGTCTACTTACGTTGTTATAGTACTACTCCTCGACATTCTTTGTTTAACACGCCACATATTTACAGGAAATTTTCAAATTTTATATAGGTGTTCATCTGTGACTGGGCATTTCCTTCTTCGTTCGTTTGAAGAACATAAATGCTTTCAACTTCCTTTTATCCCGGAAACTTCTGCCTGCTCCAAGGCATTGGAAGGATGTACATGGGCGTTTCATTACTCTTTCGGAGATAGATACCACAGACAGTTTGGGAACGATAGTCTTTTTTCTTTTGGTATATCTAACGTAGTTGATTGTACACTTTCTGCGGAAGCTGTGCTCATTTTTAGGTCATTTGTCAACAGATAACAATCAAGGTTTCGTAAATTGGAGGCTAAGAACACATTGGTTTCAATTAAGGTTAATTCCTCAACGCAGAACATCAATTTAATATAATTAAAAATAATAAATTGAGCCTATTTCTACTTTTCATTTTCTAATGAATTAGGCAACCAGTCAAAAATGGTGGGACGAAATCAAACTACCTATTAATAATTCATTTTAATGTATAGTAGAACACAATTTAATTTCGTTAATACTAAATTTAAGTTTGTTTTCATTTCAAAATTTCCCTTATTATCGGTAAGAGGTCTCAAACCACGGACCTTCACGTGTCAATGAAGCAATTTTAGGGCAGACCCTGAAGGGTTCACAAGTAATCGGTTTGCAGTTTGCCAAATAGTCACTGCCGGTATTGGGGACGCATGCTGAATAGCCGAAATAGCCGTTTATTCAGTTTTAATGTACCACTAAAAACAGTCAATCTACACAAAATAAGAAGTTGAAGGGTTGAAGTACGGAATGGTTCAATATAACTAACATTCAAAAGCCGTGACGAATTATAGCATACTTTCATTTCGATCTGCGCGGGAATTTACTCTATGAAAAAACTGAAACTAGGAAAACATCTGAGTCTATCTCCCCCGAGGCTCATCACTTGGGTTTCAACTTTACTTACACAGAGGATGCCACTTCTTTCTTCCCTTTTGGAAGCAGAATTTAAATTTAAGATTATTTCTTTGACCCAAGCGAACATTCTGAACATTTAAAGTATGATTTAAAACCAAAATTACGTAATTCTGAAATTTAACCAAAAATTTTTCCCAACTCGTGCTACAGAGTGAGCGTACGACCCAGAAGTGCTACCCCTCCAAAAATGTAACAAAGAGCCATAAAGGTCTAATTTTGTAAATTAGGGTATCAGAAACATAGTACCCTTCCTGGACACGAGCACCATGTTTTAAGAGTCTAGGACGCATAGTTTTCGAATTTTACGTTCGTAATTATACGTTATAGTAAATTAAAGAGAATGTAATATCCCAACACGTGATGCAAATTACATATGCGCCTGCTTATTTATTTACGTAATAATTAAATTTAAAATCTGATCTTCTAATGTTTCGTCATGTCTGCCTACTGCACCCCACGGGTGCCTAATTCCTAATCCAGTAGTAGAACATACAGAGTTTCGTGTCAATGACGACATGAGAGTCGTACAAAAATTGTCAAAGTTTAGTTGAAAACATAATATTTCAACTTTCTAGTTTCGAAGGAAAATATATCTATACGTAGGCTATTTGATGTAAAATTACATTTCATGAAATTATAATTCTAAATTTAAAAACTAAGATGCACAAAAATAAATTTCGCGAGTAGAAGATGATTAATTTGTATTTTATATCGAACGGTTTCGTTAGAAATAGTACCACATACTTGTGGTAAAAATGCTTCAAGAGCATTAGACCATAGTATTGCTTTAAAAACAGCAGAGGGGTGAAAACACATAACGCGAAGCACATGTGGCTGTACTAGGACGCTTGATTAACACTAGAACTCTTTGTGAACCGCCACGCGTAATAATGTCCCACGTCAGGCACACCTCCCTCGCCTAAACTGTACCGCAAGGTCTAGCCAGTTTCTTTCGCAAATGAGATTTCTGGTTAAAAAGAACACATTGGCATCACATACGTAATGCCTATGTCATGGCGACTGGGTGGGTTACGTGAAATGTGGCGTCAAAACCGAAAACGTAACATGGTCCACAATGCGCAATGACAATGATGGCGTAAGGCTACCGTGGAGTAGCACGCCGGGGACGGGCCGGAGCGGATGGGACGAGAAGTGTGACGAGGCGAGAAGAGACATGTCGGGAGGACGTGGCGAAACGGTGCGAAGGGTTGTGGGACGAAATGGGACGTGTGGGAAAGAAGGAGTGACATGTAAGAGTATGCGACGGAGTGAGACGGGTTGAAAGGTGGGGTGGGAACTGTAAAGGAAAGAGTTTCCTGGGACTGAACGGAGCGAGGCTGGGCCAGTGGGACGAGACGGTACGAGATGAGATGGTGCAGAGCGTGGGAGGTGTTGGAACGTGTGGCATTGCGGGTCTGAGCGAGACGGGAGGCGAGGGTGGTTGCGCGGCAGAACGGGATATGGTGTAGCTGGGTGATATGAATTATAATGGGAAAGAAGGGAGGGCCGGCCGATAAGGGAACGGAGCCGAGAGTCAATGTAAGGAATGAAATGCACCGCAGCGGGGGTGGGCGGCGCAAGTTGGGACGAACGGGAGGAGGGAGCGGAACGGGGTGGCAAGGGACGAAAAGAGTGGGCTGGGAGGTTGGGCGATGCGAGATGGAACGGAAGACAGAAGGAGGGAGGAAATGCAATGGGTGTGCGGTGCGGAAAAGGAGGGATGGGTGAAAGGGGTGGGGGGGGGGGGCGGGGGGGGGCGGGCGCTCGCGGCCATTTGCATGCCTGCTGGCGGATGTGCCCCGCGCCCTCCGCCGCCGGCGCCCGAAGGAGACTCTCACCCGATCAAACGAGGACAAACCAGTGGAAAGTCTCAACAATGTAGGTCCGCTCCGCTTCGTCCACGGAAATGCCATCTGCATCCGGTTGGCCGGCGCGCGCCAAAGCCTTCGCGGCGATGTGCAGGAGCTCAGCAGGGTGCTCCTTCCTGCAAAGACAACAGAAACGTCTCAGGGACGATGGTAATTTGAAACACGTGCATAGGGAATCGTCATACTAATAATCGTACCTCGAAACTCCAATTTGATCAGTTTTGCACTGGAAGGAAAAAAACAGTGCACTTTAACTAAATTTTAGTTTCCATTTTCGTGGAACTCATAACTAACATACTAGAAAACTCAAGTGAAGATACGCGATTAGCTCGTTATTTTTATTTATTACTATTTATGCTTTTGCAGTAATATAGTGTGCAGATTTGAACCGTAAATGAAGTAGGAAAGTGGAGTTAAGAAATTGGACTATTAGCATGACAGCGTATAATGATGTCATTTTTGTACCTATGATTCTTGATCTTTAGTACAGTAATATATAGCGTGAGTTGTTAGTTAAACAAAAATAGAATGTATATGGATCAATTTAATTTTTATTGCAACATAAATTGAAAGTATCGCTAGTGTTAATGCTTGTTTCATTTGCACCAAGTAATTATCAAGATTTATTTTGACGCCCACCTTCTGAAATTTGGCACCTTCTTGAAGTACGACGTGTCAGAGGATGGCTCACTGGCTCTATACCTTAGCTTGCTTAAGAAACAGCTTGGGTATCGTTAAAACTTTGTGGGAAATACACCACTGATTTTTGTTTGTTTTATCATGTTTTGAAGAAAACTGTGAATGTAGCATATTATGAACCGCGAATGGAGTTGCTTTTATAGCATTTTTAAATTGAGCATGCAAAGCACCAAGAAAATTTGTATAAAGCGATTTTAATTCACTCTTAAAGATACGCAAACGTGTAGATTCACTATTTCACTTCTTTTAATTACTGATTATTTGCTGAATTACATTTATTTTAAATGTATTACCAAATATTTCTGAGTTCTGTTTTACTCGTCTTAGGAACGGGCCTAGTTGACTCACTTCGATGGTTCTACACATTTTTCAGTTACATTGATACGCTTATGCAATAGAGAGAAAACAACTGATTGAATCTTCTTTCTGGGAATAGGGATATTTAAACCTCGAACTCACCCAATTGTGAAAACGATTCTAACACTGAAATCTTCGCGGTATTTACTTCATTGTTATCTTCCAAATCATATATTTATAAATATTTTATTTCCTTTTCTATATACTATTTCTTCTGTCAGTTAAAATTTCATATATTGAAAGCGATTAGATGAACAATGTTTTATTTTTTGTAAAATAAAACAGTCTGATTGTGTGATCATTCTTCATTATACGAAACCCTTTCGTTTATTTTGTCTTTGTGTCTTTTATTTTTCTATTATTTTTAGAGATTAAAATAATATAAATTATTACAAAATAATACGTTCCTTAGCTCACTTTTACATTAAGATCATAAAAGACGTATAATGTAAAGTTAATTTGCAGTGAAAATCCTATCTTAATTCAACGATTTCTTCACAATCAATCCATATTTCTAGACTTGCTTCTTAAAAAGGGTCCCGGGATATTTTATTCAAATCTCTACGCAAATTCTATTTATTTGACTCGCTTTTCTTATTTATTTTGTAGTTTTGAGAGAAATTTGTAATATGTATAGCGATAAAATATTCGTTTTGTTCGATTTAAGGTGTCATCTGTAAGAACTTTGAATTGTGCAAAGCAACCTAATTCTCTATGAAGAAATTGGAAATACTGTAGAGCGTTTTAAAACTGGTATTCAGATTGAAGAAACTGAGTTTTCGCCCACCTCCGCTCCTTTCCTTGTTCCGGCTGACTCAGGGAGTAGGCGCTGCTTGTCCCACACTTCAACTCGGCGTTGCGCTCCCCGCTTTGTGAGCGCGTCGTGTCGCCTGAGAGAACGCAACATTTCGGCGGAGATTTGACAGCTGCGAACTCTCCAAGGCCCTCTGTCGGAATAATGCCTTTATGAGCGCCGGCCGCGTTGGATTGATTGCACCACGGGCAGCTCGCGAGCTCACGCCCCGCGCCTCGCGCCTCGCTCACGCAGCGAATCAAGGTCACGCCGAATCCGGGGAGCGCGCTTTTCCCGAGAACGAGATGTCGAAAGGAACTAAGAACTTCAGGTTGGCGACGATAATCCACACTGCTTCATACGAAGTATCTTACGGGAAAAGTAAGCATTAGAGCCGCTGCATTACGTAAAAAGTAAGCATTAAAATTAGATAATTATTTTATTAAAATTAAAGAGAGACACTATGTATTGAAGTTGCCTACTGATCTGCTGGAGAGATATTTTGAAATAGTAGTAATGCGACTTGGCGATGTCATTTTCAATTTTAGCGATGAGGTTAATTCAAAGCCTTTAGCATTCGTCTTATAATACCAATATTTAAAAAAATATTTTAGATATAAAAGACATATAGGATCCTGCGAAAAAATATGGTAAGATGGAATAATTCATAAGTACGAATTTCACAATTGTTTTCATTACAATTAAATCAACTAATGTAGCCCTTGAATTTATAAATGAATAAAATCAAATGAGGCTTGATAAATATATAATAGGATCAGCCGGCACCGGCAAAAAGATGGAACCTTAAAAAGTGAATAAAAAGAAGAAGAATGTAATGAAGCATCATTATTTTTTCACGAAGTTTCTTCGAAATGAAATACCACATCTCTTTTTATTTCTTGATAGCGCGTAATCAGTTTGCTTATGTTTTTCCTTTAGACGCTTGATATTGAAAAGAATATCCCTGGGGATTCTGGATCCCAGTCATGACCGTGACGCTCATCACCCACGGAATCTTCCGCCAGTTGCCATGCGGCGCTCTGAAAGTCAGTTTGTGGCTGTATCGTCCTCGCAACTCATGACCGCAACACTTTACGCCTCTGCCTACTAATGTAAGCATTCAGGGCAGAAAGCTTCAGTTTTCATATCCTTACCGCTGAAAAGTAAAAAGGGGCAGGAGGAGCCTTTATCCGTTTTACTTAAAACGCCTAAGAAGAAGGCGCCCTAAAGATATTAAAATTGCATGGATGCCCCATCCTCTCATGATCGAGGAAGTGTCCAACAGGCGTCGGAGTCAGAATGAAGTAGCATCTGTGAATTCCATACACAAAAATCTGTTCATGGAAATAAAAAAGATTCGACAGAACCTCTCATGGCTTGGTTTAATTGAAACTATGGCTCGGCAATATGCCAGCCCTACGATCGTGAATCGCAGCCGTGAATCACCACTGAGAGACACTCACATTAGAGTAGGCGATTCACACACTTCGAAGCATATCGTAATCTAATGATTCAGGGACAGGAATCAGAAAGCGTTTTCTATCCCAGAAAGGAATGCAGGAATGCGAACAGAAGAGATGCTCTATGTGATTCTTCGTCAGCTGCGTAGCGCTTTACTTGCATTCCGTTCATATCCGCCCACCGCGCGCGTCCACCCCTCTCCCGCATTCCGCCCCCCCCCGCCCCCACCCGGGAACTTGCTCGCCGGAAGCAGCCCACTCCGCGGAGACGGGAGGCAGTCCGGGCGGAATAGCGGCGAGGGGGGCGGATTGATTGACTCGCTGAGTGATTGGTGTTTCCAGACGTGTCAACTGCTATGGTCACTAGCCCCATGAGTGTTGTGCTGGTTACGGCGAGGTAACAGTTTTCCCCCGATGGTGTATGACATCCGCCCTATATGTCGGTTTGTAGATTTCCTCCTTCAGGTTCTCAGCGGGGCACCGCTCCAATCGGGCCAACCTCTAAGCTTCCGACTGATCTCTCGATATATTAGGTAGTGTAGTGCCTATAAGTGTATCTGTATGTATAACGGGAGAGATGGAGGAAGGATGGGGAAGGAAAGATCGCGCGCGGTCGTTAGTTTGTTCGTTAAAATATTGTTCCGGCATTCGCCTGGTATTGATCGGAGAAACCCCGAAAAACCACTGAGCAAAGCAGCCGGCCGCTGGAATTCTCCTCCAGAAAGAGGCTGAATTCCACCTAACTCTAGCTAGTACCAAAAATCCGTCAGTGTTAGTACTTGAATCCTAAATTTTCTGGAGCAGATGCGCTGCAGAATTGATGCTGCCTCTGAGCCAAATCAGCCGGTTCTGAGGCCGAGACGTTGGTAGAGAGGTAGGTGGCAGAGCCGGAGACGAAAGGGACGAGGCGGAGGCGGCAGAGGTGGGGCGTGCCGCGGAATATGCGGTGGCAGTAGCGACTGCCTTGGCGATCGTGGCGAAACCGGAAGCGGCGGGGGCCGGGGAAGGGGGCTTGGGAGAGGCGGCAACGGAGCAACAGGACGACAAACCGAACGGTGAAGCAGCGTCGAAACGCATTATGATGGTGATGGAAGAGATAATGATGATGGTGGAAATAATATTTGCTTTTGTAAAGTTAAATCGATAACATGATGTATGTTATGAAAAATAAATGTGAATTTTAGTATCTTTTTGGTTGTATGAAGGTAAAATAAATCGTGGAATGGTAAGTAAAATGTACGATTTTCTTTTTAAAAATTAATTGACGTTATTTAAAATATCGATATATCATGTTCGATTATTTTAATGTACCGATATCTTCTTTACTTGATGGTATCGCTACCATAAGGAATCAATTATCGCCACGTCGTTTCTCATTTGTCATATTTCGTACTTCCACAGCTGGGGTAAAAATTTGTGTTGAAGTCAATGATACGCAAACTCATTCATAAATATTTATTTAGAAGTAACTCTTTGACGGAGCTTTTCACTTCATTGCTATTAACGAACTCATTAACCACTATTTAATTATAATACTGTAACAAAGTTTTCATTTTCTATCTTATGCGTTATTAAAAAACATCAAACGTCTTTCACATTCTCACTGAAGCCATGTGTTTCGGTATAATGAGATTCATCAAATAAAATGTAAAAAAAAAAAAAAATCGAGAAAATCTTTTTAAGAAAATCTTGTCGCCCTCTTGTTTAAAAATTATCTTTAATCCTCTCAAAATTACAAGAATACTATACATATTTTAATCTAGTGAAACTACAGAATGACACAGACTTTATGTTTTAGTTAGTTTCCTAGCGTTTGGAGATTGCCCTACCTTCTTCTCATCTGCTACCTTTATTCGCTTAAAATACCTTTTCTTTCACATTTTATTATATTTTAAGTCCATTAATTGTACAATTGAAATATGACTTTAAAAATAAGTATTACAAAAGAGGGTCCTGGTCCTATACGCGACAATTCAAAAAATATACATTACATTATTTAACAAATTAATTTTGTAGAAAAAATCTATAAAGAAAAATATGTCTATAAAAATTAATATAAAATATTATTGGTATTTCATAAAAAATACCTCCAAAAAATTGAAATATTCGTTTCAAATCCGAAGGGTCGCAAATGTTGGTGAAAATCAAATGTAAGCCGTTTTTACACTGCTTTTTGATATCAAGGACCGAAAAAACGTTGATTCTGACTATACTATGAATTCGAGAAAGTAATTTTATACCCTAGTTACTGACGTCGACCTGGAAACCTATGCTCTAATTTAATTCAATTCTCCCATTAGTCCTCGTCATAATGGGAACAACAAAAAAAAGTTTTCGGTACATGAGGCCCACAAAATTAGTTTTCTGTCGAGAATTCGACACTTTTTCCTCATGAATTATGATTATTTCTCTACACTACAAATTCAAGAAAGTGAAAACACATTACATTAATGTATTTTGTAAATAATGTATTATGTACATTTACGACGAAGTGTAGGTTTCCAGCTCTAAAACATTACTACTCATGCTTAAAGTTGGATATATGTGTGTAAATTTTCCAACAAAACAAATTAACTTCTGGAACGATTGCTACCAAATTTTGCAAGAACATATTTTGGTCCCTAAGAAAAATATTGGGGGGTCGGAATCTCAAGTTTTGTTTCGGGAAATGATGCAACCCGCAATACATCTTTGGAGCAGCGTGCTACCCGAGGTGGGATTGGGCGTGGCTGGACAAGGCGGGCGGAGACATGAAAGATTGGCGACGATGCCGGTGCGGGTTTGTAGAGCGGGCGGAGCGGGGCTGTAGAGCGGGCGGAGCGGGGTTGTAGAGCGGGCGGAGCGGGCTTGTAGAGCGGGCGGAGCGGGCTTGTAGAGCGGGCGGAGCGGGCTTGTAGAGCGGGCGGAAATTTGATGACAGTTTTCAAAACTATGGTTCAAGGTAGACAATGTAATTAACGTCGGAACTTCGGATGGATTGCATTTAATACCATTTTGCCAAAATTCGTTATTTAAAAAAAAAATATTTTAGTATATCGAAACTAAGGGGTTGATGCCAATATGACGATATATTTGAGAAGAATGGGATTTTGGAAAGAAGCGCTGTTCCGCTGCGGCCGTTGGCGTGGCTGGTAACAGGTGGGCGGGCGCTCTCCTGAGCGAGCGATGGGGAGCGCCGCGTGAACACTTGCGTGCGGTCGCGCCAGCCGCGCCAGCGGCCACCGGGACTGCATTTACGTTTTAATGAGAAGCACATGCCGCCGCATTCATTACAGGAGGCCAGGAAGTCGAAATATTATGACTGCTTTTATGAGGTGGCGTTTAAGCGGGCAATGCCTTCCTGTCTGTATGCATCCGAATATTTACGTGTTAAATCAGTTCGTTGATTTCTGAATAGAGGTGTTACGTTTCTATAGAACGCCATTGCCTTAAGTTACTGTCATGTAAATCTTTGAAAAGCGATTCAATGAAAGGCAGTGTGGGGAGTAATAAAACTAACGACCAAATTAATTGAAAACTGTTACATAAGGTATCGTTATGGCTTAAAAATTAGCAAAACTGAAATCGATTCAAATTCTTTTGCTTTGTTGTTTAGCAAGTGCGAAATACGGATATGACAGTGATTGAAAACACTCAGGAAATTTCGAGATGTTT